ATTCATCTTGCAGATGTATTTAGGTCTCTTCTCTTTTTCACAACACTTAGACCTTAACTATACCCCTGACTGCTACCTCTTTTTCAAAAGGGTATTTCTAAACAGTGTTTTTGTTTTAGTCTCTCCAGTTAGTTTTGCAATAGTCAAGTTTTCCTCATTTCTCAAGACATTTATTCAAACATCATTATATCCCAAAGTACTGCAAGACTGTTAGTACTATCAAAATTTTGTCAAGGATGCATAGGTAGTTGCTGTTTTCTAGCTGAGTTATTACTGAAGGTCCTCTAGGGATTTGGTCTTGTTTGTTTTGGTTGGCTGTTTTGTTATTTAAAAAACACGACTCCACACCAGAAATGCCTACTAGGCAAGCATAGCATATACATACTTTCTAAAAACATTCGTTTCACAGCCTGTCACTTCAACCTCCCAGTCCTCTCAGCTGTAAAAACCTGGTGCTTCCAGTCTGGTTGACTGTACTATCTTCTTATAGTATTAGGTTAGTTGATTTACCAAACATAACTGTAAGCAGTGGTATGCTTAGGAAGCAAGAATGTAGGGGATTACAGCAGCTCATGAAGTGAGGAATTCTCAGTTAAGCTATGGGAGATGAAATTACTTCGGAACAAACATATATTCTAGCCTCTTTCTTACAAGTTTATCTTGCCAAAATCTTTGTGCCTAGCGACTGAAGAGGAATTATACTTAGTCTGGGAAATCTACTGATGATTGGAAACATTACATGTACATGTTGATAGAGAAGTCTTTTTAAGCAATTGTACAGCTTATCTCATTCCACTGGGGAAGGAGAATAACTAAAACGAAAAAGAACAAGCACTATTCACGTTAAGAAGTCCTGCAGGCTTAATATACCCTGGTCTTCTTCTAACTAGTACTTTTTAAACCCCTATTCCCTCTCTTGAGAGAAGTAAAACTCTCTAATCTGCGTGGGTCCTCCTCACCCATTTAACTGCACATTTGATTCATCTGTTCCCATGAAAGCGTCTGCTTTCTTGGGGAATTTTAAAAATTTGAGTGGATGTATGTGGGAAGCGTGCAGAATTCCTTCAATCCCTGCAAAGATACCTCTGAAGCCAACAAATGCTGGCTATATTCAAAAGGAAGACATCAAAGAGAGCAAACAGTAAAAACTACTTTTTAATCTAGTCACCATAAAAATAGATGACACCATACTTAAATGCTAGCATAATACACTAACTACAGTACTTGAGCAGAAATTAACATTTAACATAAAGAAAAAGTTGACACGGTTACAAGTTGAGAAATGTAGAGGCTAATAAGATATTTCTTACAAAAAAAAAAGTAGTCTTACAAGACTATTCAAACTATACAAACAATCTTTCACCTGTTTAACAAGTAGAAGCCAATAATGTCTTCCAAATGCAGAGACTGGCAGCACTAAGTTCTCTTTTGCTAAGCAACAAAGCAATATCATTTGGCATTTGTCTGTTTCATTGCCATCCCTCAGAACTACTGCTTCTGTGAAAGATTCTTTTTGAAGAACATATCTTTAGGAGAACACAAGATCTCTTTACATAGAAATATATAAAATGCGAATGGGGACTCTTCCTTCTGCCTCTGTACCCTTTCTTTGTCCAAGAAATGTTGAAGCGGACGAAACTTTCTCAACTTAAAAAGGATAAATCATGTCATTGAAAAGAGAGGGGCCTCAACATAAGAAGGACATGGACCTCTTGGAGTGGTTCCAGAGGAGGGCCACGAAGACCATCAGAGGGCTAGAGCACCTCTCCTCTGAAGACAGACTGAGAGAGTTAGGATTATTCAGCCTGGAGAAGAGAAGACTCTGGGGAGACCTTCTAGCTGCCTTCCAGTACCTAAAGGGGGCCTACAAGAAAACTAGAGAGGGACTTTTGACAAGGGGTAATGGATTGAAACAGGGTAGATTTAGGTTGGATCTAAGGAAGAAATTCTTCACTGAGTGGGTGAAGCCCTGCAACAGTTGCCCAGAGAACCTCTGGATGCCTCATTCCTGGAAGTGTTCAAGGCCAGGGCGGATGAGGCTTTGAGCAACCTTATCTAGGGGAAGGTGTCCCTGCCCATGGCAGGGGACTGGAACTAGATGATCTTTAAGGTCCCTTCCAACCCAAACCATTCTATGATTCTATGAAAGGTTTTCACATTATACTTTAAGTTCCACCTGCTGTTTGAATCTAAGTCTGAGACTCATTAGGCTACTTTCCTTTTGGTACCTACTAACCAAATCTGAGATGAAAGAGATACTAGTGACGCCAAAGACAGAACCTCCACAGCTTAGTACATACAAGTGAAGAAAAGCCATGACTGATCACTAGAGTTCAATTCTTATAGCCTCAATGATGACATTCATCTATACTATTATTTTTGAAGTGCCCAGGGTCATCTAGTTAGCATTTGAAGCCCTGCCATTCAGATATGACACAAAATCAGAGGTCAAATCTTTTATGTTGTAATTGGCAGAAAAATTGCAAGATTCTAGCTAAAAGCTACATTGTTTCCAATCAACTAATGAGGAAACAAGACTGGAACAAGAAACAAAACAAATGAGAAGTTGGAAATTCAAAGTTTCAGGAAGACAGACAAGAAAAAAATTTTATGAAGATGCATACCATAAGACACATAAGACTGCCTCCTACATTACAGGGAGAGGAAATTTCTATTACTGGAAAGTTTATATAAGTAAAATTCCTGAACATTAAATCATACTTAGAACAGGAAAGCAGCAGGGAGCAGAAGTCATATAACTGATAAGGAAGACAGTCAAAAGAGAACACGCAGCACAGAAAAGATACTTTTCTGAGAACTGTAACTATCAAAGCGTGATTTGCCCTCACATATTTCATTACTTTGGGAACCAAGAATGTGAAGTTCCAACTGAGGCTTCTCCTCCCTTCTTGCCCCTCCTCAATGCACATTTCCTGTTCTACAGTAAAAAATAAGCTCATTCTTGTACTCTTTTCTTCCCTGAAGGCACCTCCCTCTGTTTCATTCAGTTTCATAAAATATACCAGTATCTACCGATACCTCTGTAAAACTTAGAAATTAGTCAAAAAATGAACAAACTATTAGGAAGGAAGAGGGTCAGTCAAAACTTGCTCATATAAGCTTTGTTTCCACAGGAAACCGGGATAAGAGTTTACTAGTCCACAATCTGTCAAGAAAACATACTGGACTGAAAAGAAAACATTAGACTTCTTGTGTTACTGGCAAGTAAGATGCTTAACAGCTGATGATAGAAAGCATATTTGCAAGTGAGGGAAAAGAATGAACAAGATTAGGTCACAAATAAGCAGAAAATTCCCATAGTTTATTCATCTTCTACATTGGAAGCAGTTCTAAAATGCAAGATTGTTCAAGGATTGTAGGCTTCTTTTACTGTAATCATCTAACCACAGACAGTATCTCTCTTTTAAAGATTTCCACCTCATTAGTGCAATTAGATGATGCCCTCCAGTCTCTTTACTATAGCATCATCTAGGCTGGCTCAAGCCCCTTTCAGTAGCAGATGGAACTAAGCATCTGACTTTGTGCTGAAGTGAACGAAGAGTGATCATATAAATCTATTTGTTACACGAGTTGCAGCGCTACATGGGAAGAGTGAGAATATAAAAAAAAAAAGCTTTGTAATCAGTACTGCAGTGATCTTGCAGATATAAACTGACTCAAGATGGTTACTACCAAAGTTTTTGCCTCAGCAATAGATACACAAGGACCCATTAGTGTGCAATGAGTTCTCTAGATGTATATGGAATTCCCGTAAAGGCTGTAGCAAGAATCCAAACCTGCGGCTGAAACACTCTGAAGGACCTCAAAGCTGAGAAGATATAAGACACATCAATGTAGAATCTCACTTTATTATGCAGGTATTACATAGGTACATGACCCTTAAACAGCTGAAGTGGGATAATTATATTATTCCCAGTTATTACTTCTAGCACTTTACAGATCGAGCACAGCACGTGAGCCTACAGCCACTTTGATGCAAAGTCCAGTAGCTTAGCTGAAACTGTCAGAGAAGACTATTCAAGCTAAGCTGCCGGACTTTGTACTAAAGCAGCTGGAAGTACTAGCACACATTTCTTTTTGCCAGGAGTGCTACAAGTCTCGGTAACTTTCAACGAAAGTTGACAACTGGAGTAGGAAGAACTTAAGTCATCACAGCAAGATACGTCAGCGTGTGTCAAGCTCCTAAAGACAACCATTAACTTGTTGAGAGATCTAAGTAATTATAGTTAAATTACATGTAAACCTCTGCTCTGATGTAACAGTTTCTAGACAGCATTCCTGAACACTAAGGACTCATCGGAGCAGAACCTTGCCCTTATGTACAGGTACTTTTCCCACAAACCTCATTGGCAACTGAAGGCAAACGAGGACAGAATCGAGCCTCCAAACACTACAGTGTACCTGAAGACTTTTCACCCATTACACAGGTGTCTACTGTTCCTGCAGCACTTGCCCTAACTAGATACCAAAACGCTTCACAGAAGGTTAATGAATTAAGCCTCAACACACCCAGTAGCTTAGCATCACCCTATTAAGGATGAGCCCTGAGGCACAGCGAGGAAGGATAACCAAACCGAGGCCACACATATGCATATACACACAAGATCGGCGAGGTAGGATATTGGCTGTCAATCCTGAAGGGCTTCACCTACTGATATATTTTAACTTCAGCTGCATGCACGAGGGTCGCCCGGGGGACAGGAGGGAAACAGGGCGGCGAGTGAGAAAAGGAGGAAGCCCGGGCACCGAGAGGGCCGCGAGGAGGGGGAGGGGAAGCGCGCCCCGCCGCCTGGATCCTCACCGCCGCGGCAAGTTCCCAAAGAGCCCATCCCCAGGCAGGTCGCGGTTCCCGGCCCCCCCAGCCCCATCCGGCCGGCCCTCGGACGGAGGGCCCTCAGGCGGGCTCCGCGCACATCCCTCCCCCCCCAGCCCGCCGCCCCGCCTCGCCCACCCAGGGCCTCGCCGCCGCCGCCTCCTACCTTGGCCACGTAGTCCTTCACCTCATCCAAGTCTCCGTTTTTGAGGGCCCACATGAATTCCTTGTCAGACATCGCGGCCACCTAGCAGAGGCGCGGGCGGGCGGGACGGC